GACATATGACTTAGACTAATCAACTTTATCATAAATACTGGATAGTGTCGACTACAAATTCAAGCAACCGTGAGCTCCGCACATGCTTTCGTTCTTTTCCAGTGGATGACGCGCCGACAGCCCCAATGGTCGATCCGGTCAACTTTTTTTTCATTGGCTGGATTTTCAATAAAATCAACTTAAACTAAAATGTTTTCAACTAAAATGTTTATAGCATCAATCACTAATATTGCACTAAAGCAGTTTGATCGAGTATTTTTACATACAACGCTTTTTTTTCGCGGTTATTCTTGTATAGCATGTTTAAATTTTAATTTAAACATGCTATACATGTAAAATTACATTTTAAGGGTGATTGACATAACCCACTTGTTTTTAAGCCTACAAAGTAAGAAATAAAAGGCAAACCGAAGTTTGTAATATCTAAATCTTCTTCTAAATTGTCAAAATGCTGTGTTGGTGGAGTAAAACATATATATGTATGTTCGTACGGAGTACTAGCGTCCATTTCTTCAACGTATTGAGGGAACCAAGCTGGATCATATGGTTGCACATACTGAGATGATGTATCATCCAGACGATGTCGTAGTGTATACACATAGTGGGGTTCAAAGCTAGTCGTTGTCGGATGAGAAGAGCTACTTGTCAGAATTGGATCTGACACTCCCAGTGACATGTTTAAAGACGAATCCAAGTCACGATCTTGTTGATTCATAAATTCCAGAAATTCAGCCATATCGTCTATTATGGTAACGCTATTGGATTTATTTCGGTCCAGCAGATATACAGGAACGACTTCTTCATCCATGTTTCAGGCCTTTTCAAAACTGCAGTTAACGTGTTCGCTCAATTCAATGTTATACAGTGAAATCAAGACATTTATTACTTCCCACAACAGAAACGCAGTTTATATCAGAACATACATTGTAGAAAGAATCAAGAATGTCTGATATTCAAGACTGATAAAAGCCGTTAGTGGAAGCACTGATAAGACGCCAACGAACATAGTTATGTCAGTCACCCTTAAAATGTAAAATTTAAACATGCTATACAAGAATAACCACAAAAAAAAGCGCTGTATGCAAAAATACTCGATCAAACTGCTTTAGTGCAATATTAGTGATTGATGCTATAAACATTTTAGTTTAAGTTGATTTTATTGAAAATCCAGCCAATGGAAATAGTAGGAGAAGCTTTCGGAGCACAAGCCCTACCTGAAATAGTATTAACGTGAGAATCAACTTGTTTTAGCTTCGTTGTCACAACTTCATTCGTTGTACAGAATATAGATACAGAACGGTGAATTTAGTTTTGTAGTAGTTTACTACAAAGCTAAGTTCACATGATCGACTCTCTATTCGTACAAAATTGATTTTCTGTTTTTCGATAGTTTTAGTTTAGAATACTATAATGGAATATTTTATTTAGTGCATCTCCCACATCTCTGCTAGTGTTTCCCGTATATTAGAGGTTCAAGGTCATGATACGTCACTTAGTCTAGCCCGAAATAATGATGATGTGTTTGCAATATTTAATAATGATATTAGAGATTTGGCGGAGTTGAGAAAACAAGTTGGTTTCGACGTTAAAAATGGAGATGACGTAAAATTTATTATCAAAGGTGGTTTAAAAAGTAAAGTGGATAGTTTTCTCCATGATAAAAAAAATAAACTATCGTCTGACAGACTTTTACGTGTACAAGGAAAATAATTGTTTAAACGTCATTGCTTTTTCTAACGACAAATCACATATTTTTTCTTTGACCTACAGAATAGTAGCAAACAAATAAAATAAATTCTAGTCCTTCTGATACCATTATTTTGTTACAGACTCAAAACTTTTGCTAGTATTTAGAACCAAAACAAAAACTTTCTCCTATTCTAGAATGTCAGTCCACCATTCTAAGGCGACATTCTGCCATTCTGGAATGGCATTCCAGAAATTTTGTACCCATTCCGGAATGTGATTTGTTCAATTAGTTTCAAATGTTGTTACTTTTATTTTTTACTATTATTCGCCTAATAAGAGATTTTCAATTATTAAACTTTCGTGAACTGATTATGTTAATATCACAATTGTTTCAAGTACCACAAGTCATCTCGTCTTTACGTTGATTAACAATCTAACACTTAACGATGAAATATGATCATCATGAACGACTAAATTTAATCGACTTATACACGGAATTAGAAGCAGTTGACTTTGTCATTTCAATTCTTCTGAACCTTTTTGATCTTCATTTTTTGAGATAGTTGTAAAACTAAAGAACTTATTGATTTTTTGAATCTTTTAAACAACTGAACCAGGAAATACGTGTATTTTTTGCGCTCTTTTATTAAATAACATATACCGAGACATGTGCGCGTAATGCGTTTTTTTACATTCTCATTTAAATGAAACAAACAGTATAAAAACGTGCTTGGCGATAAAATTAGTTTGCGTATAGTAAAAATCCTCATCACTATTTAATAGTGTTCATAAGGAAGAAAATGTGTGTGTCGAAGGCTGTGCTTCGATAGCTCAGCGGTCAGAGCAATGGTCGTGAATACCACTGACCTGGGTTCGATTCCCAGTCGAGGTGTACACTTTTCTTTCGAATATCAAGCTGCTGTTAAAAACTAATTTTCGTACACATATTTAGCTCCTACACTAAAAATTTACAAACAGTATAGACATTTCTACTTTTATTTACGTACTGTGCAGACCGGTTTGCGTCGGACTTTTGTAGTCTAAACTGCTTGTTTACCATCAATATCCATCGATTTAACTCTCGAATAAGCACGCAGCAGTTTCTGATAGATTGAGAGAGAATGTTCTTTATTTCAGAAATAAAGAGAGGAGAAATAATATTTCTCCTCGTCACAAGGTTGTGCTTACTTAGTTATGGGAGCACAAGAACAATCCCTGTTTAGGTAAGCACACTAAATAGCAAAAGGCGAGATTTCAAAAGCTAGACTTTTAGGTCAGGATGATATTGACAGAAACGCGAGTTTCTTTGTAGATGTATAGTCATAGTTTAGAGTAACTACCAGCAATACGTACCATAAATCAAACAGAGCAGCATTATGTTGCTTAGAAGATCTGCGTAGAGTAGTTTTCAGTTCGGTAATCTGAAGCCAGATCAACGTTGTGATAAGGAAAAAAAAAGTTAAGTAAATGGGTCAGTATTGAACTGAAATTGCTCCCTAGTCTATTCCATACTGGTCTACAAATAAATCAAAAAATTCAACTTTACATATTTCCAACATGTCAGTCAAATCAAAGAATTCATTTCACCTCTTTGTTTTGGATAAACGAAGAACTTCTGCTAAGATCTACTAAGAACCGGTTTTTTTAATTGTGTGAGTTAATTTTCCTCACATCTATTTACAAAAATCGCGAAAAGGCATTCTGTAGATTTCCTGCTCATGTTCTGTCTTTTTCTATGATTGCCGCAGTATCTTTTTGTAGAAAGCTAGACTTTTTTTTTGTTATAAAAAAATTATCAACGGGTGTATTATTATAGCGAAAAGATGAAGCATCAGTTTTTTAGCGTCTCTTATTGTAATATATACCGACCGTCGATTAATTTATTTTAAGCCATGTTTTCTAGGATTGGTTCATGATAGCGGAATATTGATAGAATATAGATGGCGCTGGACCTAATCAACTGTGTTTAATTCCACCTCATCCAAGACTCTTAGCGGACAAGTAATTCGCGAATGGTGGACTTTTAATGATGCCAATTCGTGTAAACGAAATGCGACAATTTTCTTCAGCTGAAACACGAATCGCGGAAATTTCGTAGAAAGTTCGGTTAATGGAATGTGAACACCCAGGTGTTAGATCCTGTATACGGTGTTGTGTATAAGTAATTTATTACTGAACAAGATGATCTTTACATAAAATTAGGAGCTATTTATACCTGAGGTTAAACGGAAACGGTGGGTTATAACCCAGAGCTAAAAG